CTAAGGCAGCCGGTAACAGATTTTCTATGAACGTGATAAGGTCCACATTTCTAATGGCGGCTGGGATACCTGTGACCCTCAAGTTCCGAGCTCGCAATTTGTTTTCTAATGTCTCGAGCTTGTAGTCAGCCACCAACTTTCCTACTGCCAGCTCCTTCATTAAAGTAGCATGTTTGACAACGCAGCCTTGAGTAGATACCACCTTTGCTTCCAGGGCTCCCACACGGTGATCTGTGTCTTCCAGGCATTTCTCAAGCTTTGCTAAACCAGCAGAGAGAGATGCCAAGGCTTGGCGTAAGGCATCACGTTCAGATATTATTTGCTCCAACAGCTCCTGAACTGAATTTGCCACATGAGGAGAGAAGTGTGCGTCCTGAATTCTTCTAAGATCCATCATAGCCCTTGTTCTACTTCCTTTTTGGGATCTTTGGAGCCAATAGCTAATTCCTTTTCAGAACAGACGAAACATTGTACGTGGAAAACAGTAGAAGCGGCATCATTCCTGCTGAGACAAGCTTTCCACTGCCTTTGCTTGGTTTAAGTATAGGAGGACACACCCTTGTTTACCAGGTGACATATTTTTTTAACCTCAGACTGTGCACACCTACTCATACAAACCCTGTTTCTATTCAAACAATTTCATTGACATTTGACAGTGAGAGGAAGGAATTGTTTATAATGGGGTGGGAAAATATAAACCTTACTGAACGCTTACAAATTCACAAAGCGATATGAGAGCAAGCAAGAGTTTCACAGTCGACACCCACCATCTCCCACTCTGCTCCCCATAGACTTCTTACATTGACCTAGCAAGTCTTTCAATTCAATCCCAACCTCCCATGTTTCAGGCACTTCCAAGAGCCCTTCGCCCACCAACGCGTCAGCCTCTTATTTCTCCCCTCCTATTTCGAAGGATCTCCTAGGCGGGAGACCCAAGCACCTGTCGGGCTCCCGTTCTACTCCCACGCCCGGCATTCCGGCCTATAAGCCATCAATGAAGGGGGGGGGACCCTTTTGCATTAGGAATTGGGGGGGGGGAGCTAGCCTCGGCTTCCAGGGGAACCGTGCCCAAACAAATATTGCTGGCTGTTTTTCTCCCTTGACCGCGCGCTTCTTGCAAAAGACCTGACATGCAACGCGCGCGCACTCAAAAGCAACCGAGCTTTAATCTCTGCAAACGAAAACTTCCGAAGGCTGGGAAGAGACTCCTGCAAATTCACGCCGACTACCCAGGCGAGGCACGATCCCTCGGCGAACCCTTCCCCGGGCCCTGGTCCGTTGGGAAGGGAGCACATAGGCCGACATCCACCCGCCCCAGGTGTCTCTCCCCGGCCCGGCCCGCCCCAACGCGGGAGGGCCTTTATCAGCCACCGGCCATGGACCGTACGAGCCAAGCCAGACGCCGCGGGGACAAAACGCTCCTCCCTCCGCGGGGCAGGCCGGCCAGCCGGCCGGCCGACAATACCTGCGCTTCGCAGCCGCTGCGTCTTCTCGCTCTCTCCCTCCCACGAGCGGGCGCTGCGCGAGCTAGTGACGCCAACTCTTTTCCTCCGCGACCCGCCGGCCCGGCTCCCCGCCTCCGCGCGCCGGGCCCCATCTAGCGGCCAAGGGGAGCCCTGCCGCCCGCCAAGGATCGGGAGGCGCGGCTGAAATTGGGAGGAGAGGGCTGTCTGTCCTCAGCGAGAAGGGGGGGGGGGGTTGGTTGGTCCTTGTGCCTTCCTCGGTTCTTCCGCACCTCCTGCGAAAGGGCCCGTCGCCTAGTTTGGCATCGGACGGGATCGGAGCGCGTTCGTGTTTGGGGCGAGGAAAATCCAGGGCTTTTTATTTAAACTAAGAGGGGCGAGAGCCCAAATGTGCTTTTTTTCAAGAGGCAACTGGGCTTTCTGGTTTTTTTCTTTGAAGATGTTTCGCTTCTCAACTAAGAAGCTTCTGCAGCTCAGAGCTCCAAGAAGCTTCTTGGAGAAGAAGCGAAACGTCTTCATAGAAAAACCAGAAAGACTACTTGCCTCTTGAAAAATCACCTTTGGGACAACCTTTTTTATTATTTGTTTGTAAAACTTGTACGAGATAGCAGGTATAAATATGTACATGGACGTAAACAAAGGAAATGAGTACAAATAAATAGGACAGTAGGATAGGGACATTAGGCACACTGGTGCGCTTATGCACGCCCCCTTTACGGACCTCTTAGGAATGGGGTGAGCTCCATGGTGGATAGTTTAAGGTTGAAGCTGTGGGGGTCTGAGGAGGTAACAACGGAGTCAGGTAGAGCATTCCAGGCATTGACCACCCTGTTGCTGAAGCCATATTTTCTGCAATCGAGTTTGGAGCGGTTTACCTTGAGTTTGTATCAATTGTTTGCCTGTGTATTGAGGTTGAAGCTGAAGGAGTCGTTGACAGGTAGGACGTTGTAGCAGACAATGTTGTGTACTATCCTTAGATCAGACCGCACATGGTGCAGTTCCAGATTGTCCAAGCCCAAAATTTCGAGCCTGGTGGCCTAAGGGATTTTATTGTGAGCAGACAATAGACAATAGTAACCATGACCTGGATGACTAAGAATCTCCCTAGACATCTAGAGGGGTGAGACTTTCCCTTTATTTCCTGCCTTCAAACCTTGAAGGAGCTGCTGGATACAGGACAACCATTAAATGGGAGCAAAAAGATGGTTAGTTGCAAGTTGGTTGCGACCAACTTGTAATCAAGCTTCCAAGTTAAAGAGACCTCTTTAAGGGAGCCAATCAATTCCTAAAATAAGAGGGATTGGGAAGGAGCAATTTTTTTCCATATAGGACTTTTCTCCATTTCTGCCCCTACCAGACATTTTATGAAGAAAGCCATTTTCTGGTGTTTTGCAAGTTTTTGAACTTCAGACACTCTTATTCTATGCTCCTTCCTATGTAATCAGGGTAAGGGGATATTAAAACAGAAATCCAAACTCACCTGTGGACTGCCAAACCAAAGAATGTGCACTGCCTCTGATAGAAACTTAATCAATACATTATGCTAAGCCATGGTTTGTTCAAAAAGCATAGTGTGCTACACATACATACACAGGCACACAAACACACACACAGCAATGGTTTAAATCATGGTTTGTAAATGACAGTAGCAGTTTTCATGCAACACACAAATCCAAATCAGCCAAAACCAAATCATATTCAGCATGTTATATGACAAAATTATTCACACCAGGAAAAAACATTGTTATTTTGGGGAAATGAATGTGCAGATGGTGAATATTGGCTGCTTAGGATGTATTTAGGCTGTATTTCCGCTCAGTCTATGTATGGCTGTTTTTTCACATCAGACTAAATCATATGTAATAAGGTTTGTTTACAGCAATCAGATTGCAGCTGCAAAATTAACATGATTGCTAGAAGCAGCGAAGATGTCCATAAAACTGGGTATTGTTTAGTATTTGGCTGCACTACAGTGGGCTTATTTGGTTTTAGCTTAGTGAAGGTAGAGTAGGGTATGGAAATATAGATCTATCCAATTGTGATTTATTTGAGACACAATAATGGCTCAGTGTGGTAAGCAAATTTAGCCTATTCGTAAATAGATACAGAGACACAAAATACTATTAGTGCAGTTTTAAACCTTTTCTAACCCAGCACAAATCCAGATCAGTTTTGTGCCGTAGATGTTTTTGTTACTCAGAGAAATGGGAAGAGACTATGTTTGTTTCTATTTTGTTCAGATGCTTAGCAGGTGTTGATGTTATTTTCAAATGTTGATGTATAGTAAGGAATAGTATTCCCCAAGGAAAACCTTGAACAATTTTAATGAGCTATTGCAATGGAAAAGAGAGAGAGCTGCTCTTAGTATAGTTCTTTTCCCCCCTGGAATTTTCTTAGTCATCAGATCAGATCACAGCCTTGGGCTGAGTTTTGTTACCTAAGAATGCATGACTTGGTTACTGAAAATGTTGCTTCTATGCTTGTTGGGAGAAAAAAGCATAGATTAGCTAATAGTAAAGATACATAAAGTATCAGTAATTTCTGCTACTACCTTGATCTATTTTTTAAAATGAAATCTGCCCTGAAACACTGATTGACTAAAATTTTTATGCAGTAGAAATTGCTCAATCAACTGTTGCTTCTTTTTTCCCCACTAACAAGAAACACAAGATTGCCTTTTTCTCCTTCATTTAAAAAAAAATCACATAATTCTTACAAAAACCCAGACATTTGCACTTTTATTCAATTCCTTGCAACATGTGCTTTGCACCGTGCAAGAAGGACGGACTAGCAATACAAGCTGTTCTTCAAACATAGCTGAATAAAACACAGAGTGGGGTCAAAATGGCACCAAGTTTGGATATCTGTTTGTATGTATTTTATAAATTAATCAGAGTTAGGTCAGATAAAGAGATTAACTACTGCAGTGTTCATCAGCTTTTATCAATTTTGAGACTGTGGAGCAAAGCCAGGACTGACTAGAGGAAAGTTCATGCCTCAATGCCACATACATGTTTCTCTGAGTGCATCATACTACACATAGTCAACAGGACACTAAGGACCTATTTGTTGTCAGTATACCCCAGCTGCCAGAAAAGCCAACATAGTCCTAAACGGCATTGACAGAGGGATTGAATCAAGATCACATGAAGTGTTATTACCATTTTTTTATAATGACAAGACCACACTTGGAATATTGCCTCCAGTTTTGGTCACCATAATATATAAAAAAGAGGTTGAGACTCCAGAAAGAGTACAGAGAGAAGCAACAAAGTTGACTAGGGGACTGGAGGCTACAACATGTGAAGAACAGTTGCATGAATTGATTATGCATAGTTTAATGAAAAGAAGGCCAAGGGGTGACATGATAGCAGTGTTCCAATATCTAAGGGAGTCAGTCTATTCTCCAAAGCACCTGAAGGCAGAACAAGAAGCAATGGATGGAAACTAATCAAGGAAAGAACAAAGCTAAAAATAAGGAATTTCGTGATAGTTAAAGCTATCAGGCTTGCCATCAGAAGTTGTGGGTGTTTCATCACTGGAGGTTTTTAAGAAGAGATTGGACAACCACTTGTCTGGATTTGTATAGGTCTCCTGCTTGAACAGGGATTTGGACTAGAAGACTTCCAATTCTGTTATTCACTTATGTGACCTTCCTCAAGAACTCAAAGGGACTGTGGAAGACAACACTGGAAGCAAGTTCATAAGTGGCCATTAAGTATGGCATATACCAAGGTGATGCACTATCCCTGCTGCTATTCTGTATAGGCTTGAACCCCCTAAACTAGGTAATTACAAGGATCGGATACAGATACAAGTTCAATCAACCACCTCTTCTATATGGATGACATTAAGCTGTATGCAAAGAGTGAATAAGACATTGACCTGTTGATCTGCCTGACAGGGATATACAGTAAGGACACTGGGATGTCATTCAGACTGGAGAAAAGTGGCGGGATGAGAGTCAAGAAAGGGAAAGTTGTTAAGACTGATAGAGTGAAACCAATGAGCCACATAACAGACATATAGACCAGCTACAAGTACTTTGGTATCCCACAACCACATGGGAACCAAGATGAGAAAGCAAGGAAGACAACAACAACCATTAGTACCACCAAAGTATAAGACAAGTCCTGAAGAGACAGACAGTGAAGATCCTTGCCATGAACACATATGGCCTGCCAGTCATCAGCTATCCTACCAGTATAATGATCTGGCCACAGCAGGACATGAAGGCTGCCAATGTGAAGACATGAAGATTTCCACTCCCAAATCCAAACACCCAGAGTTTAGACTAGGCATACCCAGTTCCTGCAACTGTTCATGTTGATGAACCCTTATTTCTTATTTCACTCATATGTAAGGATGTTAATATTTAAGTTGTTTAAGCCAAAGGGAATAGTGTGATAGGTGTTTATGTATCTATGAAACATGTATCAGTTCAATATCAATTATTTTGATGGGAATAATTTCTTTATTACAGCAATATATAAGCACAATAAGTAAATTTAAATATTTCACTGTGCACATAAAAATTATACTTATTTGATTTGATTTCTAGCTGCTCATTTCAACAAATAACTCATGATACAGCTTTATGAAAAACAAAAAAGATTTAATATATTATATGTAAGCTAGCACTGGCAAAATACTGATTCATATTATGGAATATCCTTAGGTTAAGGTTTACTTTTCCCTTTCAAACAAATTTAGAAATCTATGCAGATGCTCACAGTCACAAACAATAGCAATTTGTATACATGTAAAAAGGGGGAATCAAAATTTCACATTTGGCTTTATGAAATTTTAAGCATTTATTGAGCTATGGTGTATTCAATTAGGATACATAAAAGTTCTGAAAATGGCATAAAGGTGCATCCAAACTGCCAGAGAACTCTGGGATTTTCTGCTTCTATGAACTAAGATAAACCACCTGTTCTTTTGGTTCAGAAGCTACCCTTCTGGACCAAATGGATAATTGCATTACTGTATTAATTTTTATTTCTAACCTTAAACTACAAGTATTAATACTTATTTACAGTAAAATAAAAATTTCCTATTTCCTAATGTAGACCTAATTCAAAATATGCAAGCTTTAGCAACACAGATCCATCCTTGATGCCTGAATGATCAAAAGGTCAGATAAACTCATTTTGTAATCATTAGCTATAACTGGAAGCTGGAGTATTTTTCCCAAAAAGTTGGTTTCTGGAGCTTTCTGTCTAGATTTCGCTTATTCATCCCATTTAAGGTCTCTGTTTGAATTTAAAATAGCAGTTCACTCAACACATCAAAACTAAATATTAATCTATAAGTAAAAAGTAATTTTACTATCATGCATTGTACTAAGTTTGGTTTGTTTAATTTTCATTGCTTGAATAATTTATGCTAGGTTAACACATCACACTTATAAGCCGTAACATCAGTTAATGCAATGGGTGAACCTTCCCTACTTATCCATCAAGCCCAAAACTTTATATTTCAATTGATAGTTGTTCTCCAAGATAACAAGCAAAAAAGTTTGTATTTATTCATTATAAATTATTGTATAAAATTCTTTGAATTAAGCCTCTTTGGAATCAACTTACTCAGACGTTACTTACAAGATTGTTTGATATGTATGGCAGAGGATCTAGAACAGTGTTGATAAACCTTTTCAGCACTGAGTGTCGAAATGGGGGGTGGGATCCGGAAGAGCAGCTGCCCGGTGCTTATGCACACACTGGGAAAATGGTTTTTCCATTTCTGGCACATGCATGCATGCTGGCCACCTTGTCTTCTGGTTTCTGGCACACACGTGTGTGCGAAGACCAGCTGACCAGTGCACATGCATTCACTAGAAACTAAAGAGCAGCCACCCAGTGTGCTTGCGCGCACCAGGAAGATGATCTTCCAATTTCTGGTCTTCATGCGTGCATGTGTGCCAAAAACCAGAAGACCAGGTGGCCAGCGCGCCAGACCCTGGAAGAGCTAGCTCGCGGTCCCGGAGAGCTGGCTCTGCGTGCCACTTCCAGCTTGTGTGCCATAGGTTTGCCAGATCTAAAGGGACACCAGATTTTATTTGCTAAAATAGAGATGGAGATTGATTTGAATGTAGGTTAGGAATTTAAAAATATTGAATTATAAAAGTGATATGGAAAAAAGATGTTGTGGATTTGAAAATAGATTTTAAAATGCCATAGTGTAATATGGAAAATAATGCCAAAATTGATTTACAAATGAAATCAGTTGATGTCTTAATAATTAAAGAGGACATACAAATAATAAATTGGAAGAGTGATTTAGAAAGCTTTCTTATTTTGGATCTATAAAAGGAATGTGGAACTCTTTCTGAAACAAAAGGCAAAGAGGAGTTTCTCAAGCTGGTCTTGGAAGGAGACAAAGAAAAAATGATAATAAATTAATTTCTGAGTTACCACTTAATGGGATTAAAGATTTTTAAAAATATTTATAAAATGAATCTGCTTGATCAGGGTTAAAGTATACATGTTGTGGTCTCTGGTAGCTGTTAATGGAATTTCTTATAGACTAAGATTAAATGATAAGGCTTTAAAGATTTACTTATAAGTGGGGACAATTTTTTTCTGTTTTATTTCTTAGAGAAAGTGCTAGATTTTTATTATAAATTGATGTTTTTGATTAAGATTAAATTATGTATGTTAATATTTCTGATCTTAATATGCTATTAGGATTAAATTATGTGTTTTTGAAATGACCATTGATAAGGGTAAGATATGGCATAAAAAGGGTTTTTTAATTGAAATATTAGAGAAGCTGTTAAGTTACCCAAATTGTCTTGCCTGAGGGCAGGAATCACTTTTATGTATCTTCTTTTTCTTTTTTCTTTTCTATCTCCTTTCACTTTTTAAATATATTTTTATTAGTTTGTATTCATTTTTTATCTTTTATTTGTAAATACTAATACTATTATTGTAAAAAAAAAAGAATGATAGGGAAGGAGGAAGGAACCCTGCAAGGGAAGATTGGGGGAAGGAGGAGAGGGAAGTGGAGGGAGGGAGGGACAAAAGAAAGAAGGAAGGAAGGATTTCTGATTCTCCCATTTTTTTTTTGCAAGAAATTTGGAAGTTGCTCCTGCTCCCATTGGTTTTCTTTGCCCAGCTGTGGTCATTCTGTGTCTCTATTTAGGTATGGAAATATCTCTGAAATGATGATCCAACATGGCATGGGTAGTATTACCTTACAACTTTTAAAAATTATAATATTCATTTGGATTTGAGCCTTTTAAAAAAATGACTTAACCCAGCCTTAGACATAAAACCAGCTGAGTGACTTGAGCCAAGTCATACTCTCTCAGTCCTAAGAATGAGACAGTGGCAAACTACTTTCCCAAACTCTTGCCAAGAAAACCGCACAGACTTGTCCAAGCGGTTCCACCACAAAAGCGCGTAGGACAAAATCGCGCTCGACAAAAGCGCGCTGTGACGTCATCACAGCGCGACGAAAAAGATCGAAAAATTCAAATAAAAATTAATAAAAATT